CATCCAAAGTCCAGAAATTTTCAACGTGATAATGGAGTGTGGCGTTCTTGGAGCTTTATACAAGTTTACAAGTAAGAAATGTTTTTTCTGGGCCATGTTTACTGAGCCAGGAGGAAAGCTGACAATTTATCTCGATCACTTGGCTCCTTATCAAGAGTGGTAAAGGTTAATTAAACAGTTTTCTACGATCCCCATCCACTCGCGCAAGTAGTCCTGAAACAGTTTTGTAGTTGAACATTTCCTTTTGCTGTCTTATTAATAATTCCAAGTGTCTTGACGTGCCATTTGGAAAAAAAAAAAGAACATTTAGTTAGGGAAACTTACTTCACACTTTAGATCAAGTGAAATCCTTTTTTCTCGTCCGTTTTCATTCTTTACTATACCATATTGAATTTTTTAACACATGTCAAGGAACTGTGGATAGTTTGGTCTGTGAAATGGACTGCACAGCTCGTTTTTAGAGTTTTTTTCCTTGGTAAGGATGTAGACTACAAAATATTGCTTAATTTAAATTGGCAAAAAAAAATTATATTTCAGCCAAGATATTTCCGAAGAGTGCTCTCAGTTGCCATTTTAATTTCAGTCGTGGCTTGTCAATTCGTTAATAAAGGACAGTGATAAAGTTTTTCAGCTTGTTCGTGTGGGAATTCTATCTTATACTAACCCATAAGAACTTAGACAAGATAACGTGTGCCACTTAAATGAGTCAATTATGTAAAGAGGACTTTGGGATAAGTGTAACAATCTAAACAATCGAAATGCAACATGTTCAAGCATTTATACAAATATATATATGTGAACACTCGTTGCGATTTGAAAGTATACATGAAATATATACAACTTATCTTTTTCCATTGAAATGTTTTTGGCAGAATAACTTATAGGGGACAATTGTGGAAATACTTTTTTTTTTATACAAAAAAAAAAAAACCAAGTTAGCGTATCGAGTGCCGGTACGTATCTCGCACCAATCAGATCGCCGCAATTGGGCATGCGCCTTCCACCAAGCAGATTGCCGCATTATAGGGTATGTATCTCGCACAATTGGGGCATTGCACTAATCGGAGCGTCCTGGTATTAGCTTAAAGTGTCACAAAGTTTAGCAA